ACTTCAAGCCACAAGGAATCTTTGCACCATTTTTCAATCTTTGACTTTTCAATCAGTCTTTTTACCACTCATCAATAGACCTGCTGAATCTTCCAGTTTTATGTTAATTCTCTTATTCTTTATAACATCTTTTAAAACTGTGTTCCTTCTTAGGAATAATTTGAGAGTGGTTTTGAAACACCAAATTAACAAATGCAGAAGTGTAAAGTGTGAACAATTCAAATCAAACCAATTTTTTGTCCAGTGGAAGACTTAATTGAATGGGTGACGAGCAAATATTAAAAAAATAAAATAATAATAAAAAATGTTTTTTTGTGCTTGACAGATGTACATGGAAATAATAAGTATAGTTTGCAAACTGATCAGATGCTTACTCAGTGAATTTCTTAGTCATTTACTCAGGTGAATAATAAAGGCCAGTGAACACCAGAAGTATTTCAGAACCTCAGGATGAAACTGGTTTGATGTTTTTCATGTCAGAGACAGAAGTTTTTCTTGTTTTCCATGAATATATTGTCCATTTCTGATAGTAAAATACCTCTATGAACAGAAAATATAGGTGTACAAATATGGGAATTTGTAAGATACAAGGAAGGAGGATAATAGAAGAGAGGTAAAAAGTAGTTGTAAAAAGAGGTAAGTTTGAGCTAGTTCAATGGCGTTAGTTAATATTTGACTCTTAGTTCCTCAAAAACTTGCCTATCCTAATGATTTCTGAACATCAGAAAGTGTCTCGACGTAAGGAATGGGAAAGAGAAGGTGAAGACTGAGGATGACAGAGAAAAGAGATAAATCTCTATGAGAATATTTATTCTTTCAAAAACAGAGCTAAAGATAAGGACACAGCATTCATTTTGAGCTTTTTTCATTCCATACTTGCTGAAGATGTTGCCATTACTGCTCTGAAAGCATTTAAAATACAGGTGTGTTAAAACTCCATATTGATGTGGATAAGGGAAGGGAAGATCCAAGGAGAAAATGTTACAGCATTTGGGCAGGATTACAGGGACAGTTCCTATGTCCTATGCCTTCAATCTCTAGTCCACAGCTCTCCTGAGATATCATGTATTATGCATAGATAATTATTCAAAGTGGCCTAAAAGGTAGGCAGTGTACTCCCTCTGAAAGACTATGGTTTTGAGTGTCCTAATATCCTGAAGCATTTCTGAAAATCTCATCTTTTCAAAAGTTTTAACCATCTCATCATACTCACTAAATAACTGCAGGTACTTGTTAATAGTGTGTGTATTTCTAACCAAAATAATTTGTGTTTGCTTTGGGGCACCTGTAAGGAAATTATGGCTCTCAGCTTCTCAGCTTTCTCTGTATAACACCAGATAAATAATTGTTTTCATGTTTCTCATTGATTGATTGTAATAATCCACTAATAGCTGCATGCCCTTATTATTCTACTGTATCTGGTGATAACTACTAGGTCAGTCTGTTTAAAGACAGTGGTGGGATGGATGTGGAGGGATGGAAAAGAGAAGTCAGTTTATTAAAACCCCTAAACCATCAGGCTAGGATATGGCCATGTTGGCCCAGTTATGTCATGGTGAAAACCACAGTCATACTTTAATGTAGCGTGCCTCCTGGCTCGTTCTCAGAATGAGAATAAATTAAGAATGAACACATTTACATCAGAGGCGCTGCACCTCAACTCTCTGCAGTCAGGATGGTGCTCAGCCTCCAGCACTAGGATTGCTCGGAGGACTCGCCTGCTCGCGCCTGCTTCGGATCCCTTAGGCTTGTGCTTAGGTAGTGCTTAGGGAGCTGCTACCACCTCAGTGCGCGAGGGAGCGGCAGCGAGGAAGGGAGCCGGAATCCGGTCGCGGCGGTGTCACCGCGCCCCGGGGCCGAGACGGGGGCCGCCGGGCTCTTTCAGCACTGCGGACAGCGTCACCGGAGCGCCAGCGGTTCCGGGCTTCCTGCTCTAACGCACCGGCGGAAGACGGGGAGGAACCTGGAGGCCAGAGGGGCGCAGAGGAGGAGGGAGGAGCTGAAGGATGCAGAAAAAAAAGGGAGGGCAGCGCTAGGGAGAGGATTTTCCCTTCTTATCTGCTTTCGGGCTGGCGGGTGGAGGCTGCTGCAGCTGGTGGTTGCGTTTCCTCCTGATAGAAGATGGTGAATATGTGAGGAGAGGCTTTTGGCCTGCTTCGCTGCTGCGGGAGTGCCTTTCCTTCCTCTCTCTTCCTCTCCCTTTCCCTGTTCCTGCATCTGTGTGTTTGGCTCCCCGGCTGCCGGTGCATGCACATCTTGTACATACATCTGAGCAGGGATCTTCTCTCGGCAGCACAGCTCTGCACAGGAAGAAGGGCTCGGCTGCAGCAGCAGCATCAGCAGCACCAGCAGCACCACCAGCTCCATAATTCTCTCTCCTTTCCCTACCTCTCCATCTCCCTTTCCCTCCTTCCCCTTCCCTCTTCCCCTCCCTCCCCACCCCCCCCATCTTCCCGCAGCTATTCAGAAATTCCATTTTCCCTTCTACAATATTCGTGGCTTCTCCCCCCACCCCCATCCCCTTGGTCGGAGAAGGCACACACACACACACACAAACGCAGAGAAACAAGAGGAAGAAAAGTACTGCGACCTCCCTCTGCTGCAAACAGTGAAAGCAAACGGAGACGGGATTTGGCTTCTACCCCAAGGTAAAGCCCTGCCTCTTTTACTTACTCACCACCTCCTCCAAGAAAGAGAAGCAAAGACAGGATCTAAAGTGGAGAAAAACAGGTATTCTACGTCTGGCATTTGGAGCACAGGGAGCCAGGAAGCGAAAGATGGTTGTGGTTGCCCGCACTGGCTGCAGGGCAGCTGTCTTCCTCTGGATTTTCAGCAGCATCAGTTGCAGAGCCAGGACTTCTCTGCCTGCTCGTAAGTACTCTTCTCTAAGAAGCATTCAAAATTTCAGCTTCGCAATAAGGCAGGGGGGAACTCTCACAGTTCTGGGAGGTTATTTACTTTGTCTCTGATGGCAAATCTTGTGTTTGATTTTCTGTGTATTTGCCTGTGTATGTGTACAGCGTGGTCTGATACTGTTCTCAGTGGTCACATTAGATCTTCCTTACAGATGATATTAATGGTAGCTTGTGTGGAATGTTGGAAGACCTGCTCTTTGATATAGTCTTCATTTGGCAATGAAGTCAGAGGGGAAAAAGAATTGAATGCAATCTGTTCAAAGTTTGGGGCTGTATTTGCTTGTTTGCTTTTGTTGTTGTTTGTTTTGTTTGTTCATTTGTTTTCCCACCTTCCTCAGAAAGTATGCAATTTGTATTTGGAAGTACTTCATTTCCACAGTTTTGTGAGGGAAAAGAGGAGACGTGAGCAGTTTTCATAACTAGCATTTTATAAAGGGCCAGTGAGAGAGAATTTATCTTATTTGAAGAGGAAAGAATGATGTTAAGTGGAAGAGAAGGAGCTGAGCCTGGGCCACTTTTTCTGTGAATGCAGTTTTGCTTTCCATGATAATATGAGCAGAGATATTTTAGAAAAGAGAAGAAACTGCCCTCCTAGGGAGGCAGAAGTAGAAGAAAAATGTTGCAATGTTTGCTGAAATGCTGAACTTTAGACTGGCAGGATGCAAAACATATAAACAGGATCCAACTCTGCTATCAGTATGAAAAATATCAGTGGATTCTTTGATTTCAATGCGTACTAGATAAACCCTTTAGCACTGCACTGATATGTAGTTTCCAGAAAGATATTTGCAGATAGATGTCAGTGCTTCTAGTTTTGTTTGTTTCTCTTCAAATCAGGTAAAACATTTGTCATTTGCAAAGTGTTTTTGAAATACGTACTGAAGTACTACATCTTTGTAGATTCATCAAAAATAGACAACACTCTTTGCTACCTTCACTGTTTATAGAGGAAATAAATGTACTGAAATGTTACCAGACGGATGTGTAGGGATTGTGTACGTGTGAATGTGGGCTGATTCTACTGTTCAATAAGGGGACTGTCTTAGAATGTAATGTATACTGCGTAGCTATATGGCACATACATCCATTTGCAGGATCACTTAATTTGTTTTCTTGGGGGGGCAGGAGGGAGAAATGCAATAATTAGTAGCACTGCTACTTTCTCAATATGTTTCTATCTGTTATCGTCTGGTATATATTAAAAAAATAAAACAATTATTGCTCCAGAATGTCCTATGCTTAAGTAATTACTTTCATGTCAACAGAAAATGTACAGCAGTGCCTGCATTGTTTCTTGGTCTGAGAGACTATGGGGGTGTTTATTTATTTATTTACTTTTACCTTTAGGAAATATTTATTATCCCTAAGGTTTACTGCTTAGTTTTGACTAGCTATCTAATTTTTCTTCTGCATATTATTTTTTCACAATGTGAAGAAGGTCTGCATAATGGGATTGCACACACACACACACAAAAATACGATTTATCTTGTCAAAATTCTGTTCCTGGTGACTAATTTTCTCCATACTGTTTTCTTGTAACAGGATTTTGATATTATTTATTTTTGTGTCTTTTTATATCATTCAGTAGATAATTACTGTAGTTTAATTTGAAAATGACCTACAGGAGGTTATCTGATTATCCAACAAAAAATGTTTAGCATTTCAAAGGAAGTAGCTGAGAATCTAATATTAATAGCTACATTACTGAAGCAAAAATTCAATTAATAATATATTATATATATATAAAATGTTAATTAAAATGTACTTATATACTTTTCCATGCTTAAGATATTTTTGGCAGATGTCCAGAGAGTCCTTCATGTTAATTCATCTTCCAAAGCACATACAATACCCTCCTTATGTAGTCCATAGCATTAATTTCTGGCTCCTAAAAGTGAAATGGAACTAGACTTTTTTAATGGAAACACAAACATACCTTGAAGTAAATGTCAACCTCAACATTTCGGAAAAGAGAATGCACATGCTTGGAATTTTTTTTTTTTTAAAGATACAGCAATGCTAAGGAAGTGGTACTACAGTAGGAACTAATGTGCTAGGTCACAGTGTTTTGGTGCACCACTTAACTGGTTATTCTGTTGCACACTTCGATATACAAACTGACTTTGTGACTTGCATGCAATTGATCATGAATGCCATTACTGTTTTCTTTTATTATTATTTTTTCCTTGATTAGACAATGCTCAAAGATAGGTTTTTTTATTATTATTATATCTTCTGTTTGTTTGTTTATTCTTTTCTTTCCAGTTGATTTTGAACATCAAATTGATAATTCTTCTGAAAGATTTAAATATTGTGTATGATGTAACTGCTGTACAGCTTATTTCCTGTACTGCAATTTATTTTTTTCGAGTTTGCAGTAATTAACCAAAGGAAGTTCATTATTTACAGAATATATTAGAACATATATAAGATTCAAGGTGTACACTGAAATATTAATCTCTAGAAATTTCCAAGTTAAAAATCTCCAAGATAAAAAGGAGTACTGAAAATAAATTTTGTAGACTTTTACATGGCTTAAACCAGAAAGGATAAAAATAAGGCTATGAGTAGACTGACTTCCCTTCTATTCTTAAAGAACATCTCAAAGAGATTCAACACTGGATTCCCTGACTACCTATGAATTATAAAAAATATTTCTTTCACAGCTAAGGTTTTTTGTTGTTTCTTTTGTTTTGTTTTCTTTTGTGTGTGTGCATGTGTCTATGTTTAACATAGAACTAATCAACACAGAACAACTAAAACTTACTTACAGCTCTGATAATTCAGTGCATTTGCAGTAGGTCCCCAAATCAGCATTGAAGTTCAACCACACCTTACAATAATTGGTTTAGAAATTGAATGATGGACAAGTGTACTGAATCATTAAGATTCATGGAAAAGCAAAAATACGCATATTTTAGCTTTGAATTTGTGTCACTCAGATTTTCCTTATGTGGTAATTGCTTGGGTAATTACAAAAAGTACTAAATATGATGTGATGTCCCTTCTGGAAGAGCAGTGTATAGACTGGAACAGTGGTTTAGAAATCCTAAAATATTTAGAATTAGTTCCATTTCATAGTATTCAAATGAATGGAGAAAGTGTGGGTAGCAGCCAAATACTTAGGCATAGTTTTTTTCTAGATAATTTTTTAGTCAGTATGTGAAATAATGTGAAATCTAGTGAATTCCAGTTGAGTTTTTGTTACATCTTAATAACAGGTTTTAGTTTAGGTCCTTTTCTGTGGATATTACATCAAGGATGCCACAGACTTTAGTTTCAAATGCACAAAAACATTTTTATTTATGTTAAAGGCTTAATCATTTTTGTATCCCTGGGTCTTAAAATACAAATAAGCTAAGCTTTCAGCTGAGGGCTTAAGTTTATTCTAAGACCATACAGCTTCTTAACATTAATGATGTGCTCACTTTTAGAACAATCTAGTTACAACTTTGATTACAATTTTCATGAATTATTATTTCATAGTAGTATTGATGTACTATATAATAAAGTAAATATTCAAAAGGGAAATGAGATTGTGTTTATTACTTATTAAATGACGTAGAACTGAGTTATAATGTTTAGGGTGACGTTTAAAATGAATACACTTTTACTAGAATTCTGAATGTGAATAAAATATTCACGAATATCCTCGTCATTTCCAAATGAGTGACAGAAGCTAGGACCAACACTGGGGTGAAAAGCCAAACTTTCAAAGAGTCCTCAGTTTACATCTGTGCAACTTGTACACAGCCTGATTGCACACATTCATCTATATGCAGAAAGTCAAATTCAAAGCTTGATCCATTCTTTGTGCACTGAATCAATTATAAATGTCATTGAAGTAATGTATTAAAAGCTGTTCCTTGCTTGGGTTCTTTTGGCTCTGCTTGTAGTCTTAGGTTTTTTTTTGTTTTTTTTTTTGTTTTTTTTTTTTTAAACTCAGATGCATTAATATGGACCAGGATACAAAAAAAGTGCTTAAGTAAGCGGTCTGGTCAAGAAGAAAGTTTGTAAGTGTAGTTAAAGACCAGGAATAGAAAACTTGTCTCTGTGAAAAATGGCTTTTTCTTATGCAGGGAGATAAATATTTTCTGATTCACTATGATATTTTTACAACAGCAATTTTATCACATTCAAAAATTTTTACTTCGTGCAGTTGTGATAATATATTTGTATAATCAATAGATATCAAGATGTTATAATCACAATATAATTGTATAATCAATAGATATCAAGATGTTATAATCACAATACAATCAAGAGAGTTAGACAAAGTAGACAACGATCACAAAAAGAGAATAGGTGGAAGAGCTTACTCTTCAGCTGAGCTCACCACAAAACACCAAGAGAGGTGGTCTCCAGAAGAAATCCTTCCCCTCTGGTAGCCAGCTCTTAAATAGGTCTAGGAGGGGTGCAGCCTGGCTCCACCCCTTCCGGCAGCACAGCTGAATTGCCTTCACCTGTGCTCCTCTGGCTGACTCATGGCTCGCCTCAGGTGATCAATCAGAGGTTCAGGCCTTGACTCAGCAGTTCCCGTACAATATTCTTTACTTATTGCATATTAATTAGCTATTATAAGCTGTAGCACTACTTGGATAACTTACCTCACTATGGAGCTGTGATATGCCATAGATCTTCCTGTAAGAGTTCTTTAGTTATTATAACTAACTCCATCCTTAAATGCTACAAAGCAGCAGATGTCATATCCAATGTTGATTAATTATAACAATATTTAATGCCTTGTAAGAATCTTAATATAATGAAGAGCTATGCACAAACTATAGCTTTTTTTCCTACTTTTTAATAAATATATATGTAGAAGTTGATTCATCTCAGCAACTTGACCAACAGATCATGCAAAAGATAACTGGTTAAGTCTTGAGGTGTGTCACTGCCCAGGCCTGTATTCCCTGAATGTTAAGTATGCTAAGTCTTATGAAAGTACACAGACT